CCTCCACCGAAGGGCCGGCAGAAAGCTGTTCTGGAGTACTTGTCTCCACGTCAAACAGATCTGGCGGTCGCCTTCCTGTGGCTATCTCGAGAGGAGAATTGCCGGAGACGGTAAGTTGGCAATTTCTTGCCCAAGCCACCTTCTTCGCTGCTTGACGAACAGTCACCTTCTCTGCATAGCCTTCATCGGCCAAGTGCGCTTGAACAAATGCACTTCGGTCTCGGCACGTTTTGGCCAAGGAGTCCGAGGTCCACAAGGACATGGAGTAATGCCATGAAATTTTTAATCGGACATGAACTGCGGTGTAAAGAAAGCTTGATCACCTACAATTCCTTTCGGAACGCAGTTGTTCTCCTCGGTCCATTGTCGAAATGCTCCCAGAGCCTCGGGCGCTTCCAGGCTTGTGAGAGCCGTAGCCCACAGGAGATTCGAGGCACCATCAAAGATCACCAAGGCAAGATAAGCCTTGGTTCCAAACCTTATCTCTTCGTGATCAACAAACATGAGTTCGCCGAAGAGCGATGCCCTCAACCCTGCGATGCTGGCTCGCAGAGGCGTTGGCACGGAGGTGCTACCAACACGACAGCCTTTAACAATGCGGTCTCGTAGATCTCTCCTGGCAGCCCAAGCGTGCTGGTCCTTCGTCGAAACTGAGCTGAGCTCTTGTGGTAATGCTGCAATGCTTCACTTGCAACTTGTAAAGCTCAACATCATTGATCAACTTTTCCAACATGCGCTGATACTGCGAGAGGCCCTTGGGACCTCTTGGCCAGGCAATGGAAGCACGATCCCTCCTAGGTTCTAGGATGAGACCTCTGGGGCCTTCGGAGGAACCAACTCAGATTCCTCTACCTTCGAAGGTGCGTTTTCTTGAAGATCCGGATCATCCTCAGGAGCCACAGGAGGAGCCGCAGCCTTGGGTGCCGGTCCCTGTGAGCCGCTTCCCTTGATGCGAGCTCTCCTCTTCACCGGTTACTTTCCCGGTGGAAAGCTGTTGGCGGCTCCTTTCTCTGAGCTGTCTTCAGGCTTGCCCCCTGCTAACCATGCCCTGTGGTGACCCTACCTTGCCACGGGCAGGATCACGGGTCCTAGCTGGCACCGAAGTTCTACACTCGATACCTCCAGGCAAAATCTTCAAGATTGTCCTGCCCTTCCAAGAATCAGTACTCTTCGTGGTAGGACGCTCAGAAGAACGCCAGTCATCTTCCTGAGTCACAAATCGCCAGAACGAAGTTCTTGATTGGGTTCTTCTTCCTGTGAAGAGCTTCCCAGATCAAACGACTTTAGATCAAGAAGATCAAGCACGAGGTGCGGCGCAACCTTACGCTTCACATCCCAAATTCCCAGTATGGAACTGCTAAGCAAGGCCTTGGATCCGAACTGGAACCTCAGTTTGCGCATCTGTGGTGGAGACGTGAGAATGGGAACATGTCCATGTTCCACGATGTCAAACTCGGTTGACTGAGCTGCGTACTCACGGTCGTACATGCACGTAATCAACTTCTGTTTGCACTTCGTCGACTCGGAGTTGGCAAAGGTGAACTGAGAGGTAATCTCCGCTATCACAGTTCGGACGTTGATCGCAGAACTTCGTCAGGTCCTGCCCTTGAAGCCAGGGCTGAGAGATAAAGGCTTCCTCGTTCTTGTCGATCTTGTCCTCGGGTGGCCATGAAGGAAAAGTTCAAGGGGTTGACGTGTTCAACGAAGAAGGTCGTAGCTGTGGTGCTACTCTGGGCAGAAACTGCAAGTTGGGCTTGTCCATCCTTGCCTGATTCTCCATCCTGTCCATCTTTGCCAAACTTGCCCTTTCCTTTGCCATTCTTTCCTTTCTTTCCTCTTCCCTTGGCTGCGTAGGGCTCCTCGGACTCGTACCAGGACCAGTCATCCCAATACTGATCTTGCCATTGACGGTCTGATTGCCATTGTCCGTCCGGCTGCCAAGAATCTGTCTGATCATCGGCAAGATTTGACTTGCCCTTCTTCCTCTTGTAGAAGCGCTTGCCGCCCGATCCTTTGCCACCTTTTCCTTATTTTCCTTTGTGGCGGCCTTTGACTAGAATCCGCATTTCATCTTGCGACCTTGGAAACGTTGCTGGAACCACGAGTAGCTCTGTCGTCGTAGACCCAGAAGGCGTCCTCGTCTGCTTCAAGGAACCTTTCTGCTCCATCCTCTTCATCCTCGACCCAATAGCCTTCATGATTGTCCAGGTAGCCCTCACCGAAAACGTCTTGCGGCCACCATGACCAGAAGGAGTGAACAGAGGATTGTCGACGGTAGTCTTGCTCGTGCAGAAGATCTCGAGGTAGACTTCGTGCAGCTCGGCAAGGCGGTAATCTGCCAGCACGCGGTTCCGATGCGCCATCAGTGACGTCAACACTTGTCGTTGATCCTGTGTGATGTCTGACAGGGAGACGAAAATGAGGGCCACAAGGTTTGCCGTTATCGGTATCGTCCTTGCGTGCTGATCTCTGAGCCGATTGTTGGCTCGCCCCATCGCCTCTTCAGGCGTAAGGTTTGCCTGTTCTTCTGCGGGAAGTCCTGCTATGAACGCTCGGACCTCGGCATTGTTCGGATCGGTGATGGGAAGGCAAGTGTCGTTCCATGCTTCCTGCATCCTTTGGACAGAGAGTTGAAACCTTGTATGGTAATCCAACGGACACGAAGAGCGGACGCAGGAAACTCTTGAAGTACTTCACTCCGTTGTTCGGGTCTTTCAGGCATTCCCTGTCCACAAGCCGTTTGTGAATCGCCGCTTCACCTTCTAGCCGATTTATCAATGCTGGTCCATGCTTGTCATTGTCTAGCTCAGTGATGCCACACCAGTCATCGATCGCATCTTCGCAGGCGAACCAATTACTTCGTCCATCAAAGATGGCGGTACCTTTGTGGTCACCTGCCGGAAAGCTGAAAGACGGTGTAGCTCATTGAGATGACGATGATTCACTTCCATGAAGGAGGAAATCATCCTCTCCTTCGCCATGCTCTAGAGGCACAGCAGATTGCGCTGGAACCGAGCCCCGGGAGAATACTCTTCTGGTTATCTTCACCTATGTGGAGTCACGTGTGTGAAGCACAGCGGGGATCCGGTTGCCTCCACCTGTGCGCAGCGTACCAACGGGTACCGCCACCAGTTTCTCGGGAGCTCTGTATCCCCTCGCTAGGCGTACAGGAACACAAGCTCGCAGGAGTCTTTTTTTTTCTACACGCGCTGCAGATCGTACTCTGCTAGAACCTTGAGCAACAGGCATGAATACATGCAAGTGATACGTGAAACAAACAGGCGCCCTCACACCCCACCCCCCACCCACCTTTTTGCTTTGCATCTAAGATTTTGAGAGTCAAGCCTTGCCAAATGTGACAGCACAAGAAAAAGGCAACAAGGAGTGCAGCCAAGTTGTCGCAGTTTGATGTGCCATCTTCGAAAAGGCACCCGGTTTACACTCGGGTTTTGGCTTCGGACCTTCAGACTTGGGCTGTAGGGTGTTTGTGTGAGCTCAGAGCCTCATGGCGCCTAGGTAATATTCACCAAACGCCGGATCGCAACCTGTCTCATAGAAGATGAACCTTCGAAACGCTCCAAATCCCAGCAACCCTGAACCCTAAATACCCTGAAATCTAAACCTGAAAGCCCTAAACCCCTTAACCCTAAACCCTTAACCCCTAAACCCCAAACGCTTAACCCCTAAACTCCCAAAACCCTAAGCCCTAAACATCCCCAAACACTAGCTAACGACATGAAGGCGGGGACAGACTTGGCATCCTAAAGTCAATCCCTCCCTCCCTCACACCTGCGCTCCTTTGTCTCGTGGCTTGATGTCCCCAACCCGCCTTACATAGACTTGGCCTGGTGCTACTCCCTTTCCCACACGGCACACGGGGGCTTGGGCCTGCTACCACTCATTGCGGGGCTGACTCTTGTCGAGGCTCAGATCACCGTGAAGCTGAAGATGAATTAATAGGGAACTGGTATAACGACGATGATCATGGCAAGAAAAACTCAAGAAGTGCGACGAAGATGGCGCGGGGGGGGGTCGCTGTGCCGAGGGAGAGCTGCCCTGCCCTATTGCCACACCCTTGCCTCCTGTGTTGACTCGCCACGCGTTGCACGACGTGTCCTTCCACCTTGCAGCAACTGCCCGGACCGAGCGAGCATCGAATGCAGGCAGTGTCCGGCCTCGTCGTCAGCAACGGTGGCATCGATGTCCTCACACTGGTGATCTACTACGAGCCTCCCGTCACATGCCCTTTACACATGCTTTTTGCACAGGTCCTCAAGCGCATCTGCTGGCTCGCAATACCGCCGTCGGTCAAGTGCCTCAAGCACAAAACTCCTCTGCCTCGTCCACCTGCTTGGGACTGGGGCCAGGACGCATTGAAAGCGACTGGCCTTCGACAGGGCGGATGAACCAAGCGAATGCGTTCACGAGGGGTGCTACAGCCTTTGTTAGTGCACTCTTCTTATGCTGCCGCATCACTGCACAAGCCTCTGCGTTCCTCGATATTTCTTCTTCCACGCGGGCACGGCCTTGACACGGAAGATAGAGAAAGATAAGAGCGATAACATGATATAACCAAACCCTATTCCTGCAGGTTCGCGGCACTGCTTGTGCGTCCTAAAACTGCTGAAGGTCGAAGGTCCAAGGACGTGCTTTCGCTTGCGATCCTGGAGCCACTGTACTTTGAGCCTTGGGCCCCCAGGGTTATCAGATGTTAGAAGGGCTACCAGGGCCCCGAGGGCTCCCAGGCGGGCGGCATCACTCGCCCCCCCCCCCCCCCCCCCCAAAGAATGATTTAAGCTTTCAATCCTGGCGCGTCAGTCACACAACCTGCATCAGCCGAAACACCTGAAAGCCCTTTGATCGAGGCACTGAAAAAATCAACACTCACACCGACTCACCCGTACAAACATGAAGCTTTACACGGGTGAGTCGTTAACGCATCGGCTAGATGCTCTTCGCAAGATTGAATCCAATACATCCTGCCTTTCACTTCGTCATGATCAAAATTTTCTGAGTTCCGGTCGCTCTGCCCAGACACGAACAGCAGTGCGCTGCTCTTCCCCGACGACCTGAGCTGTTACAAAAGAAGAATCCAGGACCCTGGGAGGAACGAGCACGAGGAGCACGAGCTCGAGCCTTGTCTGTGATAGCACGGTTCCGTTTTGACAGCCAGCGCCTGGTCGCAAAGCTCCCACCGTGGGTAACAACATATCCGTGTCTGAGGTGGGCACTTCTCCATCCTGTGCTCGGCTTCGGTTGCTGGATATGGCAGCGTGTGATCTCGCAAGCCAGAGCAAGCGAAGGGGCTCGCAAGGACTGCAGTGACAAGCGCGAGTATGCAGTAAGGCATCAACAATCATCGTCGAGCTGAAGCGCGATCTCCCTTCTACAGCAGCAACCCGAGGGGTCCGAATCAAGTGCTTCTTCAAGTTACTCGGCAGCAGACTCCTCAAGTGTTTGCGGCAGCCCAGCTACCTGTCGGCAACATGTAACGCACAAAAATGTATTGTAGCCCCAGGGTCAATGACAAGTAAGGCGTAGACTGTAGACGTGTTGGACGCCGCAGACTGTGGCCTGCCGGACAATCTGCAGGCCCCACACCAAGCGTGCTCTTGCAAGCGTGGCGCCTTCGGCGCCTGTCGAAGCTCCGTGGTGTCACCTTCTTACTGGTGGAGCTGTCGTGAGACGGATGATTGCAGAGGTTGTCTTGATATGCAGTCATATGCAGTCGAGCTGGGGCCAGCGCAGCTCGTCCGCTCGTGGTGGTTTGACCCTTGCTCACAAATTTTCATCGATACACTTCTTGAAGTCCACCGAGGCCCGCACAATGCTCATGGCAGATGTTGGTCGCGATGCTGAGGAGAAGCCAGTGGAATTGCAGTGATTAGCAAGGCCATGCTAAAGCGCCATGAAATGGCCTGCAGTGTGTGCAGGCGTCGGTGACCTGGCCGAGACCTTGAGAGGCAGGGTTCGGGCTGCACGTCATCTCTTCAGAACATCTGGACTGAGGGCAAGTCCATGGAACGTGCGGTGAGGCCTGGCGTGGCGTACCATTAGATCATCAGGCAGGCAGTGCCGCAGAGGCAGCCGACCACAGGATGGCATCTACAAGGCTTGAAATCCAATCAAGCGCACTGCCGACTCCAGCTTACATGAATCGGACTACGGGGAAGCCACAACATCGATTCCTCCACAAATTCATGACGCAACTGAGGGCTCTAACCCATGGAATTCATGACGAGGGCCTCCACAAGTTGTGGATGGAGTGAGGGGCCGGTCCTGGTCGGCCTCTGCACGATGCTCTAAGTCCTCTCAGCCACGGTGGAGAGGTGCCACTGCTATGACCCTGACGCCGGAGTGCAGAGAGCTACAGCCGTCCTTTAGTTTTCGCGCAGTAAGCGGTCGAACCAGCTGTCTGGTGTTGAATTCCTGCCACACTGAGTGCTGCATCGAATATAACTTCAACGACATGCTTCTGGATTATGCGACCTCTGGAGCATTGCATGTGCGCGCGTATGTGCGCGTTTGTCCGTCGATGCTTCAAGGCTGTCACACAGGTTCCCTTGCTGCCTTGAGGCGCTCCCTCGGCGACGCCAGCTTCACCTAGGCTTGCCGTCTTCGAATAGCCACACACTTTGAAAAAAAGTTCTGCATCCACCAACCTGGACAGCGTGACGACCAGCAACCGTCGGAAGCGAGGCCGAAACTGCCTCTCCCAAGCATTGCAGCATGCGTATGGTTCAGCCATTAATACGCTACAGCACTGCTGGACGTCATTTCTTGAAATTAGCCCGACTCTCGCGGAGCCCCAAAGCAGTTCACGGAGCTGATTAGGAATTCTGCGTCCTTAAACCGTGACCCTGTAAAGGCTTCCAAGGCTAGCACTCCCGAACCCTAAACTCTACTCGGTTGGATTTGCAACCAACTTTCACCAGAACTTCGCCTCGAACTTGGTGCTGTCATGCGAGGCAGACCGGCCAGGACGCTCCCTGTCCAGGGCCTCGGGCACGAAGAATGCGGAACCTGGGGGAGCTGGGTGCCGAAGCACCTCGTCGGCACAGAAATCGTGGAAGCCTGGTCCTGCGTTGCAGGAAGTCAGTGCGTGGTGCGCGGGTCTTCTTGCCTTTTGGTACCATCTGTATGCTTCATCGAGTTGCCTTTCGGCTGCATCAGGATTGGGGCTCATGGCCACGGAGTCAATAAGCTTGCGAAGTCCTTGACGGAAGTGTACCAGCCAAACAGCTTTGGTTTCGCTGGGATACTCGGAGCTTGGATCTGAGGAAAGCGCTTCCTGCATCTCCAAAAGCCTGGGATCTTGTTGCACCCTGAGAAGTCGCTGCGCATTGCCAGCAATGAGCGACGAGCTTGCACCTGAACTCCTTTTTTGCCTAGCAATGCTCAAAGGGTACTTGCCGGAACCCACTTGCTCCTCAACTGCTTTACGCTCTTCTTGAGCCTGATATAGCCTTGAAGCCACATCTTCCAGCTGTAAGTCGACCGGAAGGTTTGGTACCATCCACGGCAAGTTCACATCTGGACCACGGTAGCTGCTGATTGGCAGAGACACGCCAGTCTTCGCCATTTCGGCCATCAGCGAACCACGGGAACCGGGTCAAATTTTTACGGTGCCAGTTTGTTGCATGCGTCTATGTTTTTTATCCGAATAAAGGCTGCAGCTGTCAACGTGATTCGGCTCCATCTCGTGTGGCATGGGGCAAGCAGGAGCACAGTGTTTGTGCTCGTTGCCCCTTGATCCAAAAGCAGGGTGGTGTGGAGTTGAATGACGTTGGTGGCATTTCGAACATTAATCTGCAAAGAATCGGTGTTTTCTTGAATCTTGAATGCAAGGATAAAAGCTAGTGGTGCAAAGTGCGAAGTGAAGCTATGAAAGTTGTCGGCGCAGCTGTCGGTGAGCAACTTTGCGCAAAGCCCGCTTGGGCCCACCTAGGTTCTGGATGGCTTGGCTGCTCGAGCCTAAGTATATGAGTATATATGCATGTAAGTATACAAGCTTTTGTCAGCATACTTGCTGGTTAGGGATAACATAGAGTTCTGTGAGTGAACTGATCGAATGGTTGGCCCAAGCGTACAGCTCTTCTGTGTTTGGTATCAGGGACTGTGCCACAAGGGCTCTCAACTCGTTCGCCTACCTCGTTGGTTGCTGCCTGGCAATCACGAGCCCAACTTTGGGCTGGTGGCCGTCTTCGGAGTGGTCCCAGTGGTCCCCGGGGAACCGGACAGGGCTACTCAACGGTTACTGTTCAGGCGATCCGCCCGCTCCACCCCCACCGGAGGCTCAAACGAGTTCTATCTCAGTGTGGTGGAGTGTTTGGTTGGTCGATGCTCTCCATCTTCTCAACCCCGGAACAGTCCGGGTCGCTTCTAACCGACGGTGGATGGATCCTCTACTTCACGGATCGAGCAGGGCTATGGCTCCTCGGGCACTGTTGGCCCACCGTGGGATGGATTGGCCTGGGCCTGTTCGCTTTGGGGTGCCTGGAGGCAATCGCTTGCGTCCTAGGGACGTGCGAGAAATGGTGTGCGGTGTCTTGCCTGGGATGTTGGTGTAGCTCTATCGCCAGTGGTGGATGCCGAGTTGCACCACCTCCCGGTGACTCCTTCACCGTCGGCCTTCCAACGCGTTTCGTTGGTCGGCCCCAATGCAGGGAACTTGGTGGACACCGAGTACTATACGACCACAAGTTCTGGGGCAAGGAGCAGGCCGCAAAGTGAACGACCTCATCCTCCAGTTCCCAGTGGGGCCGCTCGCACCCAACCCGATTGGGGGCAAAGGACCCGCATTGATGGGCAAGGGTTGTGGGTCAAGCCAGGACGGGTCTTGCCCCCCCCCTTCCTCAGGAGTTGGAGAGATGCGAAGCTGTGCATCTATGCCGAGAAAGTGACTGCACGGGGCCACGGGCAGTGGTGGACCTCGGCGCCCACGGGAGGTTTGGTGGTTGGCGCTGCTTGGTCCTCCTTTGGCGAGGGCAAGTCAAAGCAAAGCGTTGGACAACTTCCTGGTGTACCTGCTGCAGTACCCGATCTACCACTTCCCGGCGCATTTCCGAACAAGGTGTACTGAGGGCGCTGTATCCTGATTCCGAACCCGAGGCTGACGTGACCTCAGACCCCAGTGAAGCAGTTCTATAGCACGTCTGGAGCTGCAAGGGAAACCCCGAGCTTTAGCACCAGATGGCTGTGAAGATAGGGCAGCTTCGGAGCCTGCCCGTTTGATGGAAGGCGATGTGCAGCTGTCCCATTTGGCTGGTAAGGTTACTGCGCGTCTGCGTAATCATCACAGCCAACTGTTTCTGCTTTCCTGCCAAGGTCGCAAATGCAGCATTGTATATGTTTCGACAAAGTGCACGGTGCTCACAAAGGGACTCCCCTCTGTATGAAGCATCTTTCCGAGACTGGGCGATCAAACAGCCCCGCTCCGAACCCGGGCCTCCCTAGGTGATGGCCCAGGAGCTGCTGAGTTTGAAGCCCCAAGTCGTGCTGCGCCTCCGCCCCTTTTTCGGGAAGGGAGCATCCACAGCCAGGTACAAGTTGAGGGCACGGGTCTGGATGGAAGAAGGGGCGAGAAGGGTTTGGTGCACGTGGCTTCTTTCGGGCTTAGCTTCAGCATCCCTTGGAGATGTGTGGGTGAACCGCCTTAGACGGATGAGGCAGGTCGATACCCGCGCCGGAAAGACCTCGAGAACAAGCTCCCCGAGCCCCAGCTCACACCGCTGGTGTGACCAGTGAGAGGGAAGAGGGGTAGCTGGGCGCGATGTCCCTAAACCTGATAGCTCAGGCACCAAAGCCCTTTACTTGGGACCCAGCCCGACCACCTCCGAACTCAGGCAACTTGACTTGGATCTTTTCACTGTGGCAACCTTAGAAGCTTGGAAGGAGATGTCGCATTTCTGTTCGTGGAGAGTTGCGCGGCCCGTGGGAACCCATACAGTACATCGTCAGCTGTCACAATTTCCGAGTGGTTGCCAGGTCGGGCTCATTTCGTTTCCAGGGCGCCTGCTGGTTGGTGGCAGGCCCTCTGAAGCGCTATGTGTGGACCTTGGCGGTAAGGCGGGGTCATTGCCAAGAACCCTTCTCAAAAGAAGCAGCTGTGAAAGCTGGTTCTCCGGGGGCTGAGTTGATGAAGAAAGGAGGCTGCATTGAAGCAGCCGTGAAGGCACAAGGCACAATGAATGTGGGGGCCCGTGATGAGAAGCTATCACCTCGCAGCGCAGCGGCGAAGAAGAGATCCTTCAAGGGTCTCTCGGAGCTCCACGGAAGCTATCTCAAAGAGTGTGCAGAGCAAGGAGTCCCTACGTGTGAACAGCCCTCGACGCACGAAGAAGCCCAAGAGGCCGCAAGAACCATAGTTCCGTCTACGGCTACGAGGAGGAGCTCCGCAGAAGGCCTGGAAAGATTCTGCATATGGCGCCACTCTCTTCATTGACCCCGCCGAACCGGGTGTCGAGGAGTTGCTTTCCAAAGCACTGGTTCCAGAAAGCCCATCAAAGCAGAATCCAGACCGTCCCATTTCGGCCGAGAGCCGACCTATCAAAGACCTGCGGCGGCAGAACGCATGCGCCCGTCCCCAGCCAAGAGGGACGTGCCACGAGCTTTCAAATGGCATTTCTTGCGTCCTCGGGAAGTGCCAGTGCCAGAGTTTGCGGTCCGGTTAGCAGGCTTGGTCACCCTGAGTTTGGCCATGCCTTTTGGCTGGGTTGACTCTCCTGGGGAGGAGTTTGTTGCTCGTAGCACTGCGGCTCGGAATCACCACGGGTCGTTCCGCCCAGAGCTGCCCGAGTTCAATGACATTGTCCCGTTTGAGTCGAAATGGCTCATGGATGATGGGGAGGCGGTCGAACCGCTGGTTGGGATCCGCGTCGACCAATCTCTGGATCACCTGGACTAAACCATGAAGATGGTGTGGGTTTTAGAAGGAGTGGACGTCGAGAAAAGGCGAGCCCTCTTCCACTCAGCTTCTATGGGATTTGCGCCTGGGTTTTTCGATGCCCTGGCAGTCGAAGGATCAAAGCTAAGTGTCTGCTCAGTGAGCCGGCTTTGAGGAGAAGCAACAGAGAGGTCCCTCTCTCTCTTGCTTGCTTGCTTGCAGGGCGTTTGGGAGGTGGGGCTCGGGTCCCCACACCCCCTGCGAGCGAGCGCTACGCCTCTGTTCGAGTTCGGTGTGAAACTTGGGCTGTTGTGTTCGGCCAGGCCAGGTTGCCCACGTGTTGCCCCCTGCCCCCATTACTCCTGTAACGCTTGTGGGGCACTGCTGACCCCGCCTGGCCGCGCACTCGCTCATCTGTACTGTGTCCGTAGGTATTCTACGGCTTTCCTGTTGTCGCCGAGCGGGTTAGCAAACAAGTACAAGCGGCCAGTAGACAAGCATGACAGCACATGACATCTCCAGCTAGTGACGGTGCTTTGTGCTTTCCCGCTAGTCTTTGTGTTGGTTTGGTGGAGCCTATGTTGTTTGTGCCAGTGCGGGTCCCCGGGGGAAGCATCGTAGCAGGGGAAAATCGTAACACAGTAGGGGGAAATCACACACAGCTTGGGTCCCCGCACTGATGGTGGTGGTGGTGCTGTGGCGGGGCTCCGGTATTGTCGGGGAAGGAAACAAGGGGGGGTACCAGGTTAAAGTATCAGTAGGGGGAACGTCACACACTGTACCGGAGTCCCCGTGAGTGGGTGCTGGTGGCGGTGTGCGTAGTAGCTGTCGTTCCAAATAACCCCCTTTTGCAGCACCTTCGCAAGTAGCAGCATATAGTCAGGACTGGACCCCAACTGAGAAACAGCGTAGGTTGCGGAAAGTAATAGTTACGGCCTGTGCTCGGGGTTTTCCCCGTACTTAGTGGGGATCGAATGCTGCATGCATTCGTCTCCTACGGTGCGTTGCCCTTTCTTCGAGGCTCCCCTCACTCGCAGCACTCAGTTGGTCTTGGTGTTGGAAGCTTCGGCGGAATCTGGTTGTCGGAGAGGAAGTTGGGTCCCCCCCGCTGGTGTCCGTGCGCCGGCGGCGCGGCAGTCCCCAGGCTTCGTCTTCCGTTTCGGTGCTGGGGATGTCTGCAGCGTTCCATCCCTGGAAGGCTTCCTGTCGCAGCTCCGTCATGTGCCGTCTGCGGTCCCCGTTCAAGTCAGCCGCCTCTCCCGCAGGTCGCCAGAGCATGTCGTCGTGGTGCGGGGCCGTGGCCGGTGGGGGCGGATCCCATCGAACGGTCTCTGCCATGTCGTCCGGGACGAGCTGTATGGGCTCCCGCCACAGTGCAGTGGTCCACTGCTGTAGTAGCTGCACCGCTTCTGCTGCTAGAGGCACTTGGTCCCCGACCAGCGTCGGCATGAGTTGCTGCAACAGCTGTTGCGCTCGTAGGACCATATATGGTGTGGCTTCTCTGTCTCCCGCTGCTGCTATCATCGGGCCTACCTCGGCTTCCTCTCCAGCGAGCTTCCTTCTTTTGGCCTCTGGCATCACTGTGCTCGCTGCTGCGTGGATGGTGCTCGCCGGCGGTGGTGTTTGCTGAGGTGAGTGTGATGTGGTTGTTGTCGGGGGGCACCCCGTTGCTGCTCCCATGTTGGTTTGGTAACGTGTGGCTGTGC